GGGGGGTGCAAAATACATGTCTCGGAACTCTCTGGTCTTTGGAATGTATGTATAGTATAAGGTTTTACGGCGCTCGCAACTGCTAAGGTCATATGAGCGCTCTTTGGAATGAGAATGTTGAGTTGTAGATGTTATCCGAAAACGACATTTCTGTTTAGATTTAGTAAGAATTTTATGGCACTTGCAACACAATTATAAAGTCATATACAAGTGCCGAAGATTAGAAGTGTTATAACAGGGTAACAAACACAACGAAAGAAGAGGGTGGGGTTGAGGTGGAGTGGGATGGATCGGTAGATGTTTGATAAGAAAGGAGTAAATCACACCAGAGCACCCTCCGCCTAGCACCCACCAAAATTTCTGTTCTTTTTCTTTTTTTTTCAATGTTCAAAGTGTTTGAAGCAAGTGATTATAAATTATAGTTTGTAGAATGCCATGCTCATACTGTGCCGGAACAACATAGGGGGGACTGCTGCTTTTTCTTTCCTCTTCCTTACTATCGTGATTTTTCCTCTACTTATTTTGTATGTTTATCACTTGCTTGTGAACTGCTATTTCCGGGGTGCCTTGATAGACGAGGCAGACTTTGTGCTGTTGAGGCTAGAGAGGTGAGCAGAGTAAACCTGATTCCCGTTTGGACTTCTCTGTCAAGTTGGCATCCACCCCTTGGAGCTCATATGACCTTTTATGTAGTTGCGAGCGTCGTAAAACCTTACTAAAACTAATAGCAAAAAGGACAGTAATTGATGAGTGAGCTGGTGTTCATGTTGTGTATGGGTGCAAAATCTTTGTGTGTGGGGGTGGTTGATGGGTGCCCTAGTGTGGTTTGCTTCTTGATTCCTATCAAACCTCTATCGTCCTTATCTCTCCTCCTTCTTTTTTGTGTTTGTTACTCTCTTGTAACACCTATAATCTTCAGCACTTATATGACCTTATTGTGTTGCAAGTGCCGTAAAACCTCTACTAACACTAGATTCTTAAGTCTTGTTGTGTATGGATGCAAAGTCTTTGTAACTCTGCCCGAGAGGCTGTGGGTGGTTGAAGGGCGCCACTGGCTGGTCTTACCTCCTTTCTACGGGGGTGGCCGCAGGGTAGCCCTCAGATCCTGGCGCATTTGGTTTGGCTTGGTGTTTTACCACGAACGCACACACCCGTATACACATACACATATACACACTGACGTACATACACACACACTCACACACACACACTCACACACACACATACACTCACACACACGCACAAATACTAACGCACGTCTCACAAACACATACACACTCACACACGTCTCACAAATACACACACACACACACACACACATACACACGCACACACACACACATACACACGCACACACACCTACACGCACAAACACGTCTCACACACACACACACGTCTCTCTCTCTCTCTCTCTCTCTCTCTCTCT